GAAACTTCAATATTTTTTTGTTACGGAGGAGCACGAGAAGTTTCTTTTATCAGGTTTAAGCAGCAAAAAACTTATTGAAACTATACAACTAGAAACTTAGAAAAGAAATAAGATGTCAATGTAATCGCCTCTTTAAAATTTTTGAAATTGAAAAACTGCAAAAAATAATGACTTTTTTTTTTTAAAATAAAAAGTTTTGACCTCAGTATTATTGCATATTTATATGTTAATTTATCAGCGAAATAATCGCACTAGATGTTTTGGAGGAAAATTGAAGTGAAATAACGCTGTGCTGTATGCTGCAAGTAATAAGTGTAGAACTCAGACTAACATACCATTACGTAGTGCTTTAAGAAATGTTTCAAGAAAAAACTTCTGAAGAATACATGAACACCAGACTTGACTAGTGGGTAAATTTGACACTAATATGTACTATGGTTTATGTGCATTAAAAAACTTGCCAGAAGTTTGGCAGAGTTATACCTAATAACAACTGAAGCTTATGACAGTGAATTTTGACGGGAAGTTCCACGTCGCATAAGCGCTTCAATTGCCACAGAACCAGATCCAACCGTGAAACACTAAGTTAAGCCATAAGCAGAATCTTCAAAGTCAGTTAAAAATTGAAATATATCACTTTAGCTTTAATTATTCTGAGCAAAGCGTTTCAGTTTTATAAAGTGTAATACTTGAAAATGATAGTGCTAAAGTTATTCCAAATTAAGTGAAGTTCTAAGGCCAACCGTAGGTTGTGATACTAAAGTAACACTTTGGAGTTAGTCGCCATTACCAAAAGCATAACTATAACAATTCTTTAGGTTTTTGCATAGTATTGTATACTGCAATGCAGTCACCTTCAGCACCTGCAAAATTTAACTATTTACTAAGTAATCATGCCTCAATTTGTCACCGTGAATGAATAATATAAAATAATTTGATTCTCCTTCTTGTTCTTTTTTGTTATTATTCGATCTTCTGGATTGTCACCTTCAGAATTTGGTCGTCTAGATGAGTAAATGCTGCCACGCGGGTCTTGGGATTTTGAAATTTTATTTCAGTCGGCGAATACAGAATACAGCGATGACCTCAAACTCGGGTAATTAAGTCACTAATTAAACATTCTAGAATAGGGTTAAATTTAAAACATAAAACACGCTAAAACACCATCAAGTAGAAACAGTTAACATTAAAAGTAAAACAGTTAGAATCAAATCACGTCTTCAGTGATCACTTCTCCTGTCTAAGTAGCATCCGATGCTAGGCGGAGTTGGCATCCAGAGTCGATCCGACCCCGCCGGCACTTGCTTCTCAATAGGCGCCGTTTTAGAATTAGCTGTCCTTTTTCGGTTTTGATGAGTTTGCTTGCAGTCTCCCCGGCTTGGGAAAATGTTCCCCTTCCGTCGCTTCCAACTCTGCAGCCTGAGAAGGTTCACTTTAATGCGACACTCCTGCCTCCTTTAATTCGAGCTGTTCCTTCAGGTCTTGAAGGTGTAACTTAGCGTACTCCAGGAAGACGCATTGTCCTTAGAATTCTTCCGCCTGCAGCCAACGCTTTACTCCCCCTTCTGCTCTAAGGGGGATGTTCATGCCTCTCCTATTGGTCTTGAACAGGGGGAGGAATTGCTGCCTGAGATGTTGCATCATCTCAGGCAATGGTCTGGTGGCCGGCCGGCTTCTCGAGACATTATTGTTGGTAATACTGACGCGTCCTTCTTCCTGGTCTGCCGGGGCTTTCAATCCGCCGGGATCATTACAGGGAAGAAAGCAGAATTTCCCAGCTTTCAATCCGCCGCGGACGTTAAAAGCTTAGTCCCGCAATATAACTAACAAATTCACAAACGTCCTTTGACCTAACACTCCTCTTCCTATTCTTTCCTCACTCTCGATTACATCTCTACTCAGAAGGCGAATAAGACTCTGTAACAAAAACCTCCACTGTTGCTATATTCAAATATAAAAATTAGATTAAAGCAACAAAAACAAACAGGCACAGTTGCCAAATCTCAGTTTAAGCTTTTGCCACCATTTTCAAACGAATCACACCTTTCAAATAAATTAAACCCGAAAAGAGATCATAATTACTTGATCGAAAAAAAAAAAAGAGAAAACAATTTTCACTGAAAGATGCTAAAAAAAACAACTTTCATCTAGAAACCTATCATAAAAATTATAATTGTAGTGAAACTTATTTCTTCAGCTACAGTACCCTATTTAAAGTATAATTCTTCTATAGGTTATACCAAACCACTCTCAAATTTCTTATTGTAAGTTCCTTCTATTTAACTTACTGCACTAATATGCTTACAATCTTGACCTTACAGATCGTAAACTCTTACGGTACCTAAATTTTCGATAGATAACTAATTTATTTTTATTCCAACACAAGTAAACACCAGCAACAGAAAAATTCCCAATAAGACAACGCAAACAGTAAAATCAATACACAGGAGATGATAGAAACTTGAAAAATGACAATTATCTTAAAAATAAAGGGCAAAGAAAACTCGGAGTGAATCCAAACAGGAATAATTGACCGAAAAATTCGTAATAATAATTAACCTCTCTGCTCAGGTTTTTATATGCTTGATTTCGGTGAGAAAATAAGGACCGGAATTTTGCTTCGGATGGTCAAATAGTCATCTTTTTTGTTTGAGTTTGGGAGTTCTTTTGCTATATCACTCAATTCCTATAATGTCTAATGATTTGTCAATTTATGGATACTTGTCATTAGCACTCTATTGGTGTGTGAACTACAACAATAATGAATATCTCATTTTATCCTCCTTCTATTCTGTCAATTTCTCCACTGCCTCGTCTATATTTAAAAAACTACCCACCATGGCATGTGCACTCTTTATAGCTTTAGAAGAAGACCTAGAAAAGTCGAGCATTCAGATGGAAGAAGCCACTGGGATTGAGCCACCAAGAGAAAATGAGAGTGACAAAAATAAGACTATAGAAACATATGGAGACTACTTGCAAGCAACACAGCTCAGGAAAGACGCAATAGAAGGATATGACAAGAGCATCCAACATTGGGTAGAAGTCTACACAAACGCTTTTGTAAAAGACCCCAAATTAGAGCAAACGTTAACAGACCATCAAATTAGAATGGTAAAATCAGCAGCCCGCGTACAATCCAAAGCAACAGGCGCATTAACAGTGCTAGCATCAAATATTAGACAAACAAGAACTAACTTAGATGAGTACGCAAAGCAAGAAGTAAGCAGTTCAACGCCAGAACGCTTATAGCCACCATTACTACCTTCTATTAACGCTCTACCGTTGAACAGCATACCAAAGTACTCAGGTAAACTAAGCGAATGGCCAGCCTTTTGGTCAGCCTTCCAGTCCCAAATAGATGCAAATAAGAATATTTCAAAAATACAAAAATTAACCTGCCTTAATTCCTTCCTTGAGAAAAAAGCCAAAGAATACGTCTCAGACTACGCAGTGATAGAAAGCAATTATGAGATAGTAAAAGACGTATTGAGAAAACGATTCGGCAAGCCAAAAGAGACTGTTTGACTTCCAATGATAGAATTTGGACGAATGCCCTCCGGCTCCAAAAATACAGCCACCAAAACGCTGGAAAACTTGCTGCGAATTTGACGGCAGTTAGAAGCATTTAGCCTAGAAGTCAAAAGCAAATTAGTTCTCAACTTTGCCAAGTCTAAATTACCTTTCCAGCTTCTCAGCGAAATATGTCGAGATAGAGACAAAGGGAACACAATATCACTATTGCAGCTCCGAGACTTAATACAGCATGCATTAAACGCATATACAGACGCTAATAGGATTTTAGGCGCCGAACATCCCCATCATCCTAGAATAGACAATCAAATTATTTTGTAAATGTGGACCTACAACTTACAAATAAAGCACTTTGATAGTCACTTTTGAATTAAGTTTTATGAGATTTTTACATGAAGATGGAATTTGCCGAGAGTGCACGAATAATAAGCAAATTATCACAAGGAGAAGCAGACAAACATTTTTTGAGGCTATAATCTTTTGCACTTGTTTTAGAACTGCTGTTACCAATTGGATATAATGAAATATTTTTCTAGAGGTTAAACTTGGCAACTTTTTTGTATAACAGATTGAATATTTCTAATTTTACTAGCTTGTTTATTAGTTTTTAATTCGTCGTCTGAGCATCACGTCCTTTATGAAAAGAAACGAAGCGCAGACTTTGTCTCTCAGACTTTGATCTCTGATACGTGCAAAATGCGCTGGAAGCACAGTTTAGCATTCTCTGTAATAGCAGCCGTAGTAACTTTGTCGCGTCACCAATAGAAAGGTAATAATTTTTCGTCACAGCGGAGGGAGTAGAATGATTCTTGAAGAGCTGGAGCAATATATAAGTTATTATGAAAAAAGTCTGAATGTCAGACTGTTCTATGCTTAATCTTATCATTTGTCTGTACACGTGGAAAAGTTGTTACTTAAAATGAGCAAAAAACTTAAACTTCTTTAAAAATGCTCTTTTAACAATAAGAAACGGGAAACAGCCATTACAGTTTTCAGCCGACTTCTGTAGTTCTACTCAAGCAGGCTTTTGGCTGTAGCGTACAGTTATTTAAATGAAACTCAGACAGTTGGCAGATGTAACTGTGGACCATTTGGACAGGGTAAGCGATATAAATTTGCTTTTCTAACAGGAAATGCAACGATTTTAGTTGAGGTTTGACACAGAAAATACACTGATTAGGTTACATTAGCAGTCAATTTACTACATAAAACTATTTTATTTTAAGATTTTGTCAGCAAAATTAAAACACAAATAAGTGTTTATTTCTTGAAAAGAATATTCTTGACAATCTTTAAATTATAATTTCACATCATAGGCTACTATTCTCAACAAAAAAGTCTCGTAAGTAGTTCGCTTCTCATTTGACACATTACATTACGAATTACTGAGCAAACACAGATTTTTTTACGTCTAGGAGAATTATGTTTTTAGTCGACATCCATTGTTTTGTCACTCAGAGTAAAGTTGACGTGAGAAAGTTATGGATAAGCCTATACAATACTACCTCATCCTTTCAGTACTTGACTAATAAGAGTGGATTTGTTGTACAGTGACAAAACGTTAGGACACTTACGCCTTCAATGGATATGAAAATAATTTTTGCTTTGAGAAGTTTATGAACATTTAAACCCACAAAAGTAAATCCTTCGGAATAATTATTTGTATCGCAATGGCAAATATCACGATAAAGATACTTTAAAAAAACTGATTCTGTATTACCCTACGGCAAAAATTGTTTTGAAAGGGTTATTAAGGAAGCATGTTTGAGACATTGTATGTTTAAACCACTGAAGACTCAGAAAACTTAAGTGTTAGAAGAAGCAACAGCCAACTAAACTTTGTCGATGCTTTTGCTTCCACAAACATCAAATTTACTGTGTAAAACTTAAATTCATTGTAGACAAAATTTATTGGTTTTCATCTAAGAGCAAATGTAGTTTACATCTGCTCTCCTTGGAATATTGGTGCCTAGAGCCAAGTACCACGGTTGAAAGGAATGGTATAAAACCTCAAAAAGCCAACTTAAAGATAAGACATTTTTGTCTGTTTTAGCTGTAAAAAAATCTTTTGTTTCAAAAATGTGTTTTTGACTGTTTAAATCAATGGAAATTGGAAAAAATAGAAAAAGTTTCATAGTTTTGAAAAATTTAATAATATTCTACCAAATTCAAATGCTTGAGCTGATTTAAAATTTTTATCTCTGTAGGTCTTACTCTACCATTGATTTTGCAAAAAGGAATCAAATGTCAGTGCTTACCATACTGTTATCCACTTGTCATTACTTACTTCACTTTCTTCAACCTCGATTCAATACGTCTCATAAATCTGCGAAGCAGTGAAAGTTTGATGCATGAAAGAAATGATCACAATTGAAGTCGGATCTTGTTTAGCATGGACTGTAGTTCCTTAACAAATAACTGGAGTGAAAACAGCTGTTTCTATTACAAAATCAACTGCTACTCAATTGTAACATTAAGTGCAAGAAAAGTTTAGTGTTTTTTCTGGTTAAAACACAACTAGATTGGAATATCAATACTAAAAATTAAGTAATTTTGACGCTGTCAATTTTAAACATCATACTGCTTCATGTTAAAGTGAATTAAAGGTTAATTAAAGCTAAAGTTATACATTTTTGTCTTTCAAATTGACTTTTATGGTTTTTTGTTTTATATCGAATTTGATATTTTATAACTGGATCTGACTGAGTCATTCTCAATGAAACGATGCTTTTTTAACAATGTTCAAGTAACTTGTTCTCGATATTATATATATACAACAGTAGAGGGCTTTAGAATTTGTCAGGCATAGTGGAATTGACTGGAAACAAGGTTTATAAAGAGAGTTCTAGGAATTCAATTAATGAGAAGGGAACTTCTTACAGGACTTTGGTAGAGAACAGTAGCCTGTGACGTAAGTGAAAGATTGTCAAAAATGTTTTGTTTGAAAAATCAATTCTTTTAAAACTCTCTTTATAAAAACGAAACAAATATATATATATATATATATATATATAT